GTATTACAAGCAATAGGCAAAATATAATCGGAGCAAACAAGGTCACTACTAGATGGAACATCTGATTATAGATTCCTCTTGCTGTTGGTGACTGCCCAAAGAGTTTCCTACTATTGGTGTTCTCCCTTCCTCTTCCCTCTTTTCATGACACAATGCATCTCTTCTGCATCATGGTGAATGGTGATTGGAGTTTTTTGTCCATTGTTTTGGGTACTTTCTAACAGTTGATATATTGTGCTTAGGAGCTTCCTCATTAATGAAGGATTCATTCCAATGGGGGCAGGTAATAAATCTTCAGCTTATGTATAATTGCACTGTAACCATTGATAGGAAATAATAGGAGCTGAATAATTAAAATTGCACCCTACTGTGTTATTAGAGTTAGAAATAATTGAGTGATTATTTGTCCCTGAAGTGCCGTTATTTACAAACATAACATTGCAGAGTTCTTACATGAGCAAATCCTTTTCTAACATATACAAGTACAGTTTCAGGGGTTTCTTCAGAATGTATTTCAAGTGACAGACATTTTGTTCAGTGTCAAAACAAATGTCTTGGGCTTTGATGGTTTCGCTTTCACAAATAACTCCCTGTTGTTCTCCTCAACACAGGCATCAACACTGACAGTCTGCCATTTGATACTGTTTTGTTGGGCCCATATTCTCTGTTCTAGTGGATAGAGTGCAGTTCTATTGTGATTCAATCCTAATGCAGGGATTGGGTGTGTAGTGTGTATGGCTGTGTTGCATATTGTTGAGACAAAAGCTGTGACCTAATTACTGCTGCAGTTATATGGGAAGTTGGCTGGATACCACCACAGTTGGAATTCTCTTTCAAAATCCATTACACTTTCCAGATTTTCTTTTTTTCAATTTCAGTGGGATAGATACCCCATTCCCCTTATCTTACAGTGATGGCTGCCATAAATTGTGTCTACAGTTGTGCTTGGATGCAATTAAGAGCCAGTGCTGATTTCAGAAATGTGTGGGGTCAGGTGGTGGTGTAGCTGAGCTTGTTGTGTTGGGCAGTGAGACACTGTTTGGTATCGAGTTGTCACAGGTAACATTAACATATATTCTATTTATTTAAAATCTGGTGTCAAACCACACACAGCAGCTGGAATTGAACGTTAAACAGCAGTTAATAGCATTGGGGCAGTGAACTCTATGGTCTTGCTGGTTATCTCTGTTAAAGCTGGATCATGAGCTGTATCTGATTCACAACAAAAGACGAGAGCTCCTTCATGGGTTTTTATAGAGATTTGGTCACCCAGCCCATAAAAATCTACACAAACTTCCTCCCCTTTAATCTTGTTAACTTTATACCACACTGGGTCATACATTGATTATTCTTAGCCATGCAGCTGTGGTCATCTGGGTTAACAGCACGAAGAGTAGGGAGCTGTCCCACTTCATCTCTTCAGAGTATCAGTTCTTCCTAGTGCCATCATTCATGAGCTGGATGGTTACTCACCACTCGTTTGACATGAGAATGGTGTATCTAATTTTCTTTCCCTAAATCAGTAATGCATTTGTGCAGGGCTTTCATCCTCTAAGCGGTGTCGTAAATAAGTGAGTCTTAATTGATTGAAAGTTCCATGTAGTGGCCAAATTTCCTGGGGCCCCCACCAGCTGTCCTAGTAATATATGGCCATTCCTCCTGGCACATGGCCACTGTGTGCCTTTTAGATAATTGAGCTGTATCATAAATCTTTCCCCAATTTTGCTATACTTCAGCCAAGGGCATCCCCTTTTCTGTGCCGAGAAAGAAGAAAGAAAAAACAGTAAAAAATACTTTTAGAGAGACCCTCCTGTTGAGTCACGAGGTTCAGAAAGAACCTCTTTGCTTTCTGAACTCCTCGGAGAGGAGTGTAGGTACAGCTGGAT